GAGGTAAGGGGCATCCTTCCCTTCCCCCCCCCCGAACTTTGTCCTGCTGGGACTGCGGGGCCGCGCCGCCCACCCCGCGGCGCCGGGAGCGGTACCTCTGTTGCGCACGGAGCCGAAGACGGGCAGCACCAGGTATCCGACGTGCACCAGGACCATGCTGCGCCCCGGCCCTTCCCGCGCCGCGGACGCGCCGCCGACTGCGCGGGGGCCGCGCCGCGCCCGCACACAAAGGGGCCCGCGGCCAATGGGCGGCTGCGGCGGCGCCGGGACACGCCCCCCCCGCGCGGACACCGGCCAATGGGGAGCGGGGGGGCGGGGCGGGGGGACGGGGAGGGGAGGCGCGCACGCGCGCGCGTGGGGGGAGGGGGGGGAGGGAGGAGGTGCGTGCGCGCAGGCGCGGTGAGGCGTTCGTCCGTCCTTATGTCCGTCTGTTGGTCGGTCTGTCCATCGAGCCGTTCGTCCGTCCGTTCATTCACGCATCGTCTGTCCGCCATCCACCCGTCCTTCCGTCCATCCATCCGTTGCCTACCCACCATGCAGCCGTTATCCGTCCATCCACCATCTGTCCATCCATCCAGCCATGGATCCGTCCATCCATGGATCCATCCTTCCTTCCATCCATCATCCATGGATCCATCTATCCTTCCTTCCATCCATCCATCCATCCATCCATCCATCCATCCATCCATCCACCCGTCCATCCATCCATCCACCATCTGTCCGTCCCTCCGTCCATCCATCCATCCATCCATCCACCATCTGTCCGTCCATCCATCCATGGATCCATCCTTCCATCCATCCATCCATCCACCATCTGTCCGTCCATCCATCCATGGATCCATCCTTCCATCCATCCACCATCCATGGATCCATCCATCCACCCATCCATCCACCATCCATCCATCCACCATCTGTCTGTCCATCCATCCATCCATCCATCCACCATCTGTCCATCCATCCGTCCATCCATCCATCCACCATCCACCATCCTCCCGCGCCTGGGCTCACGCGTGTGTGTGTCAGCAACCGTGTACACATGCGTGAACACGCACACACATGCTCAGGCACACACGTGTGTGTGTGTGTGTGTGTCAGCGTCCAGCACACACACAGGTGGGCACACAGCCCCGTGCGCGTACGCAGCCTGAGGCACACACGCACACGCATGTTGGAACACATGGACGTGTGTGCCGGCATCTGGAACACAGGCACACACCACACACACCTGCACAGCCCCGTGCGCGTGTGCGGCCAGAGACACGCACACACACATACACACACACACATACATGTACACACACGTGCACACGCACATGCACACACACATACGTACACACACGTACACATGTACCCACACACACGAGCACACACACCTGTGGCCCCAGGCCAAGCCCCCCCACCCCACCCCCGTGCCCGCAGCAGAGCACACGTGGGGAGCACACCCTGACACGCGTGGGGAGCACACGCGTGGGGTACACCCCGACACACATCCCTGGCTGTGCCACACGTTGGACACACACGCCCAGCCGGCCCGAAGAGCAGGATTGCGGGGCCGGGGAAGCACGGGGGGCTCGTCCCTGTCCCCATCCCACCCCCTCGTCCGCTCACGGGTGACACAGTGACAGCGGCGCATTGTGTTGTCTCCCCAGCTACTGGCAGAGCTGATCCGCTGGGACATCACCAGCCTAAAATGTCTCCAGCGGGACCCGGAGGGATGCGGAATTCCCTGAGGGCTCGGAGCCGCTCTCCTCCTGGGGCACCAAACCCCCACGGCTTAAAGAAAGGCGATTCCCCCCTCTCCCTCCCCCTGACCCCTGACCAAAAACCCAGCCAGGCGCTCATCTCGATTTAAAACTGTTTAAATGGAGTCGGAACAGCCCGTCGTGCAGGAGGGGTTTCCATCAGGGCGCAGGATCCCGGGGACCATTTCATTTCATTTCATTTCGTCCCACTGCAAAGTGACTTTTCCGTGGCCTCTCCGCCCTGCCCAGGCCGGGGGTTGTTTTTTGCCGCCATCCCGCCCTGGGGAGCCCCCCTTAATCCCTGCTTAGCCTTATCCGTCCCGTGCATCTGGGAGGTTTAAGCACTCGGCAGCCTCCGGACGTAGATGTGCGGTGGATTTGTCCTCCTGGATTATTGCGGGGGGTTTGTCGTTGGATTTATTTTGCGGTTTGGTTCCGGGTTTGGGTTGGTTCGTTGTTTTGTTTTGTTCTGGTTTGTTTTTTGGTGGTGTTTTTCTTTTTGTTTGTTTGTTTGTTTGGGGTTTTTTTCCCCTGATCTGAATTAAAGCGTGGGCTTGGCACCCTGGCTCTGTGTAACCCCTTCCCTCCCAGCGCCGCAGCCTGAGGGCAGATGCGTGAGAAGGATTAACTTGATCCGCAGGAATCAGGGACAGCTGCCAGCGTGCCCTGGAGCCTCCTCCAGAGCTGCTCCAGACCCCCACCCCAAAGGGCTCTTTTGGGTAAGTTCTCACATTGCTGCTGCGCCGAGCTCCCCTCCAAGGGGAGCAGGACAAGTCCTGGGTGCCCACTGCCTCCCAGTGCCCGCTCCACTGCATCCCAGTTTGGATTTCCCCTCCTGCCTTGCCCCGCTCAGCGTCCCCCAGGAGGCTGTGCTGACTCCAGGGAGGGTTTTTGGGAGGGAAAGGCTGAACCTTGCCCCCCCACTGTCACCGTGCTGCTGTGGGCAATGCTCGGATAGCCCTGGCTCAGCGTTAGCAGGCAGCACATGATGTCCCACCAGCGTGGGCATTTCAATGGAAGGAGCAAATTTTGTTGGGTTTTTTTTATAGGATCATGGAGTGGTTTGTGTTGGAAGGGACCTTAAAGATCATGTCATCCCACTGCCCTGCCGTGGGCAGGGACACCTTCCACTGGACCAGGTTACTCCAAGCAACATCCAGCCTGGCCTTGGACACTTGCAGGGATGGGGCAGCCACAGCTTCTCTGGGAAACCTGTGCCAGGGCCTCCCCACCCACATCGTAAAAAAAAAAAACCCTTCTCCTTGTATCTAATCGAATCCTATTTTCCATGTTTATGCTGTAATGAAACATTTCCTGTGCCCCTCTTGTGTCCCAGCCTGGAAAAACAACCAATTCCCACCCATTCCTACCAGCAGCAACAAACCTGTTCCTGGTGCCAAGGTGTGATCTTGAGCTCACCATGTCACATACCCCCCTGCAATGGAACACTTCTTTTAGGGCTAAAAAAGCCTGGAGGGTGGAATGCAGCCAAACCCACGCCTCAGTCAGCCAAGGTCTCCCCACACCGTGACGGGTGCAGGATGGGCTCTGGGGGGGGACCCCAAGGGTGTAAAACACCCTGGCGTCCCCTCCATGGTCTCCTGAGGCCACTGCTGGCCCCAGGCCGGGGGTTGCAGCCCTGCCACCATCCCCAGTTGCCTGAGGCAGCTGCTCTGGTGGCCCCTCAGCCCCGCCACGCAGTTGTCGCGGGTGTTTCACGGGGCTCAGCCCTCACTGCTGTCGCTTCACATCCACACACACATTCCCCCCCCCCCCCCCCCCCCCCCCCCCCCCCCCCCCCCCCCCCCCCCCCCCCCCCCCCCCCCCCCCCCCCCCCCCCCCTTCCCTGAGACACCCGATCCATCCCTGGGGCTTCACATGTCACGCAGATGCCTCAGGCACAGGTTGGTGTTAAAATTAGCCCTTGGCTCCCTTGCTGCCTGTTGGTGGTCCCCCAGTGCAGCTTCTGGGCTCCCAGCACCCCCAGTTTGGGGCATCCTCCCGCTTTCGCCCCAAGCTCTCCTCAGAGATTAACACCATGGAATTCTGTGCCGGTGTGATGTCCTCCAGCCTCGTGGGTGCCACACGTGGCACCCGTGAACCTCTGGAGGTGCTGCAGCGCAGGGGACAGGGACACTGGAGGTGTCTCACCCCTCAGCCCCACGGGGAAGGATCCTACCCTTGGCCAGGCACGCACAGGGGATATTTGGTAAACGTAAAAGTGGTGCAGAGCAGCTGGGAGATGCTGGGGCACATGTGGCACGCCAGCCACCGTCCTCAGGCAGCACTGAGGGTGATCATAACCCCCAGCTCGTGCCCAGACCCTCTGCCCACCTCAGGGCCCTCAGCCATTTCCATCTAATATGGGACTTTTCACCACCTCTGCAAGAGCAAGCTGAGTGAAATCCCGTGGGAAGTCAAGACGAGATCAGCTGGCTCAAAAACTGATGTTTGGCTGACCTCTGGTAGGAGCAGTGGAAAGGCCCCAGGGAAGGGCATTTTCCAGCTGTTTTGAAGCTGTGGTTCACTCAAAGAGGACACCTTTCACCCCCCCTAGATGCCATTTTATGGCAGGATCATGGAATTGTAGAATCCCAGAACGGTTTGGGTTGGAAGGGACTTTAAAGTCCGCCTGAGAGGCTTTGATCGTCTGCCGGCCTTCAGCTGCTCTTTGGATCATGATTTCCTTGGCACCACGTCTCGGTGTGTCCATGGTGATGCAGCCAGAGCGGGACCACGGATGGAACCTTGGTGGTGCTTCCAGGCAAGGCTGGTGGGTCTCACAACCCCCCTGACAAAGAACAGGCCTGGGGTTTTGAGGGTCTCAAGTCTTAGATGGGGGAGGCAAAAAAGCCTGCTGGGCTTGGGAGACCAGCACTGGAGGAACTCCAGGGGAAAAGTGACAGTGGAAAAATTTAAGGGAAAATAGGGAATGGGTAGGGGAAAGGGTGAAAAAGGAAGGGAAATTTCTACAGCAAACCCTATTGTATCATCCCATCCCTGGGAGCAACAGCAACCAAGTGGGGATCAAGAAACTGAGGAGCTTTTGGTTTGAGGAAAGGCTTTATTTGGGATTTATTTACACTGACATTTAATCTAGGGTTATTTTTTTTCCCCTTTATTTTCTGTCTCCATGTAATCTCCTCCCTTTTGCTTTTTACCTCCTTTCTTTTATTTTTCTCAAAAAAAAAAAAAAAAAAAAAAAAAAAAAAAAAAAAAAAAAAAAAAAAAAAAAAAAAAAAAAAAAGAAAAAAAAAGGCTAAGTAGAGGAAATCATGATGCATTTCCTCAAAGTGTAACATTTCAGCATTTCAAATTTTCCAGTTTTATGGAGAGAAAATAAGAAAACAAGCAAAAGCCTCAGCTCCAAAGAGCAGCCATTTGGGAGGAGAGAAAGAAAAAACTGTGTCATAGCAGA